ATACGTGATAGCCCCGGTGCTTGTAGGAGGAGGAGGAGGAGGAGGAATAGGAGTAGAAGTAATAGAAGGGGTAGGGGGCAGTAGTAGTCGTGGTCGGTGTGGTGGTGGCGGTGGTGGCGGTGGTCGTGGTAGTAGCAGTCGTCGTCGTCGTCGACTGAGCTGATCATCAGCCGCATACCAACCGTTCTTGCACCAGCAATCATGTTGGAACTGGTAGGAGTTCAAGCTAACGGCACGATAGCCGTTGTTACTAACAGCGAATCGGCATTCATCGCCACAGTTGCGGTGTTGGGTATGAGTTGAAGACACTGCAGTCTTACCGATGGCACCACTAGGCACGTAGAGTACTAGAAGCACGACGGCCTGAAGTTCAGAACGATTCGGATATGCATGAGCGGTTTACAGGGTACCATTGTTGTACAGAATACTTCTGGAGTGGAAGGATTGGCGTAGATTTTAGAGCATGGCTACATGTATGGCATGTCTCAAAGATTCTTTCATCACTCCCACATTGCGAAACAGGGAAGCAATGTATGACGGAAACGAAGCTGAACAAAACTTGCAACAACAATTGCAAAACCCCGTGTAACACCAAGTTCCTCAAAAGCTTGAAAGCCGCTTATGAAGCCCTCGTCAAACTTAAAAAAGCCGTTTTATGAAGCCCAAGTTCACAAAAAAATGCTTTTTGCCCGACTTCAGCAATAGAACCCTAAACCCTAAACCCTAATCCCTAATCCCTAAACCCTAAACCCTAAACCCTAAACCGAAATTCCCGGCGAGGCACCCGACTTCCGATTCGACAGCCGAGGAGGCGGAACTGGAGCTTCGTAACGTGGCTCATCACCTGGGGAAGGCGCGACGGGTTTAGGGTTTAGGGTTTTACCAACCCTCAACCCCAAACCCCAGACCCTAAACCCGAAACCCTAAAACCTAAACCCTAAACCCTGAACCCGAAAACCCTAAACACGGCCCTGAATAAGGCCCTGAAGCCAAGTCAAGTCGCCGTGAGTTGCGTGGCCAGGCGGAACAGGGGGCCTCGGGTGAATCTCGGCGCCTTCATTATCGAAATAGAGCTTCGGGGTTATGAAAGTAATGTAGGGGCCTTAATAATTAGACTAGAGTTTTGGGGCCCATACTGCAATATTTATAATAAGGAACCCCTAAAACAACACTATTAGGAATGATTTGGGCCCCTATAGTATACGGAATAAGGAGCCCTAAGGAAGAGCACTGCAAAGTGTAATCACTCACAGCCTGGAGCCTTCCAGTTTGGGGCAGACGATGGGGGTTGGGGTTTAGGGTTTAGAG